CGCTTACTCTATGATTTCTTTTATAATATAACTAGCGACTCACCCTCGCTTCGCTCGGGTTCGTCCTTTGGTTGATTCCCCATACAAACTTTCATTCCTATTTTCAACCCTTCAAGGGATGATTTCCGGGATAAAACGTATCCTATGTCCTTCCCAAGGTCTCAAACTATCTTCTTATCAAATTTCATCTAAATCGGTTAAGTAAATCCAGAGATTACCCCCTACAACGTCACAAACTCACAAACCCACAAACTCACAAACTTTACCCCTTTATAATATTAGTATAGATAACCTACCTCTCATTTCATACACAAACTCATGAGAAACAAAATATAAATCGATGACACACCACTTATTAAGACATACTTTTACAATTTTTAATAAAATATAGGACATATTTTAACATTTTTTAGTATTATTGTGGCCGACCAGCATTGTTGGGTAAGGCCCAATACCTTACCTTCTAATCTGTGAAGTGTGCACTTTAAATACTTTTTGAATTATTAGCCTAACGTTGTTGGGAACTTTAATTTTTGTAATAGTTAAACTTGAATTGATTTTTTTTAAATATATTTTTCAGTAGATACCTATATTTAAATGAAAATAGGATTATTATTTTTTAATTTAAATTAACCTATATAACCTATGTATGACGTAGTTGTCATTTCTCTTCGATGTCATTTCAAGCGAGTTTTATCTTTTTTGAGCTAATCAAAATTATAAACTTTTAAGTGTATAAATTCAGTTTACAGTATGCGCACCGCCCATTACTTGTAAATGTATTTCAGATCATATTACCTACATATCGTTGGCTAATGACACATAGAACCTGGTAGCATTAATAACTAAATAAGTACTAAAAGTAATTGTGAGCTGACGATATATTATAATATATTCTTTTAGTTGTACCGATAGCTAGAGCCATATTAAAGCACGAGAAATATGTCAGAATTTGAACAGGCGGTGCTCGTATGTGGCACGAGTGTAACATAGCTGCGACTCGTTGCGGCATGTTATTGCAAACCCACATACGTGCTAGTGCCGACTATCTGACATTTCATGCCGATGAACAGGCTACGTGCGCATACTTCGTAGCATTCTCTTTAAATAGAATATGCTGCTTGTTATTTTCGTATGAATACCTTATTGTAATAAAATCAGTACCAACTGAGGTTTTAGAAATTTATATAAATTACTAGCGAACGGTACGTTTTAAATTAAAATGGATATAGTATGTTATCCTTAAGAGATAGACATATGCCATCGCGGACTTTTCCGTAGACCTATATAAGATACACAATTCCACCATACATTATTTTGTTATATGTCAAAGAGTTTATGCAGAGCTTTCGTCGAAAGCTCCCAGACGGCTTATTTTTTCCAACACCTCCCACAAATACCGTTATATTTTAGCCAATGTATACAAAAACTTAATAAATTATATACTAAAACCTTCCTCTTGAATCACTCTATCTATTAAAAAAACCGAATTAAAATCCGTTGCGTAGTTTTAAAGATTTAAGCATACATACGGATATAGGGACAGAGAAAGCGACTTTGTTTTATACTATGTAGAGATTATTTATTTTATTGAACATTTCACGTTAAACTACATAAAATGATCGAAACGTATTTCTCAGTAAAGCATTCTGACTACTCTACGCTTTTATTTATTACAAGAAAACCAAAACAGAAATAGAGCATTTTGTCGTTTCATCGCAATATTTCGCGTGACTCAATAATTCTGAAAAGACGGACGAAGAGGCAAATCTTTTTAACCGATGCGGAAAACTAATGGCCCAGGCGAGGCTTTCGGGAAAATCGGCTTCTTATTGTCAATACAGGGCAACTGTGATGGCTCCCTACGTTAAGCCTTTATTTCAAAAGTAAAAGCACACTATCTTGATGGTTAGAACGACCGACATCGAAGAATATCGTTTTGGACGTGTAAGCAAATGCGGTATAATAATAAGTAAGTTCAATAAAAGAACTTATTTAAGTGGTAAATAAATTTAATTAATTTAGCAATTATTGTTTATATTATAAAAAACATTTTTGTGTCGACCATATGACGTAGTGCACCTGTCCACCACACATTGTCCATTGCTAACGCACGCACCGTTTTAATTAATACGGTTTTTTATAGTTATGTATATATTAGGCTTTTACAGTTATATGATATACTAGCATTGCCCGCGGCTCCACCCGCGTTAGATGGCCAAAAACCAAATTCTTAAGTTTTACATATTAGTGTACTCTTACAAAGCATTTTTGTATTTTTTCTCAGAAATGAGATATTTTCCCGCGGTAAAAAGACCCGGATACCCAGCTATCACCATACCAAATTTAATCAAAATCCCTCCAGTGGTTTTTCTGTGGTGCGGTAACAGTCAGACAGACAGACAGAAAGACAGACAAACAGACAAAAATTCTAAAAACTATAGATTTTTTGGCTTCTGTATCAAAAATGTTTGTTTCAATAAGTTTTTCCAAAGAATATTGAATGTACAGATTCGGCTTACTTACAATGTTATTATATGTATAGATAATGTTTAAGATTACTTTTTTGACACTGGCTATGCACTTCTTTTTCTTTATAAGCTACTTTATTTTTGTAAGAGTAAAAAAAAAGAAATATTTTTATGTTTGTTAATTTTTTTAATGTATACCTTCGATAATTAGGTATACATATACGGTCATAGTCCAACACGCTAGCCAAGTACGAGTTGGCGGACTTCACATGTCTTTAAGACATGCAGGTTTCTCACGATGTTTTCCTTCACCGTAAGACAAGTGGTAATCATGTTGTAAATGATTAGCATATGAAAATATCAAATCAAAATATTTTATTCAGCATTAAATTATTACAATTTTTTACTGAACGTGATGAGTCTACTACCAGTTCGGAAAGAAGAAGCCTCAGACCTGAGAAGAACTGGCGAAAGAAACTCAGCGGGACCAATATCAACTTATCTTTTTTTTAATGTAACCAGGTGAAATGTATTTATACTTATACCTGCGTATAAGCATAAATGCATTTCCCAACGTTCAAAAAATTTTTTATCTTGGCTCGGTTGTTGGTTCCATTTATCTCTATCTTAAACTAGTTTCCTTCAATTTTAAGGTAAGTCGTCTTCCCGTCTTTCGATCTGCCTATCTACTTTTTAAGTTAAATCTTTACAGATAAATAATTTCTAATGTCAAAAAACGCTATATATACGGTATAAACTTATATGAAAAACACAATTTTTAAAATGTTTGTCTGTCCGTCTATTAGTTTCGGCTAATCTTCGAAATGGCTGGACCGATTTTGACGGGACTTTCAATGACTGACTGTAATTTCGCTCAAAAAAATAAACCGTACCTTTATTTTTATTTTAAGTCGCTATTATATTACACTTTATAATGTAAATAAAATAAAAAAATCTAATGTTAATAATAAAATAACATTTAGGTGTTAGAATTATAATTACAAAGAAGTTATAATTTAAAAATTGAAGAAAATATAATTAAAATATTAATATTAATTTGCCAAAGCTCTCACACGTTAAAACTACTAATAGAGCTAGCAGCATTACTGTTTTTTATTTTCAATTTCAGTGGTGGTTTTCTATGACCTTTTTTATTTATTTTAGCTTCTAGAAGCTATTTTGATTAATTAAATTAATCAAAATAGCTTTTAGAATCTTTTTAAATTAATTTAATTAAATATAATAGTATTATTCATTTAATACTTTATATCAGATTTTCCAAAGATATTTTCAATTACAATTTTTATTAAGTTTTGGACAATGTTTTGAGTAAATAGGTTTTTTTTATTTGAGTAAGTCTAACACCCACAGACATACATCCGTGCTTTTTTCTGAGCATTTTTATATTTTGTTGTTTTTTTTTAGTTTTTTTTTTTGAGAGGATTCGGATTAAATAGGTTAGGTAACTACGTGAGGCGTTCTATGCTTAAAACATTGCGAAATGCGCATAAATTATGATAGTAAAGCTAAGAATACGTATTTTCAATTTTGCCATTTTATGAATCAAAACATGTTTATAGTATGACCGAACGTTAGATCACAATAATAACATACGTAACTATTATTAAAAATCTATAGATATATTTTTTATTCGCGATAATATTTTCAAGCATAAATTCAAAATAAGCGCCCATTTTTATTGTATTCTAAAAATGTGATCCCTAATGTTATGAATTAAAAATATAAATACAATAATAGGCACAAAATATAAAATGTCAAGAAAAAAGTCCCGAAACTATCCGAAAAAATATTTTTATGTCATGTTATTATATACAAAATACGTACATTTAACACGAATTACAAATTACATATTAATGATTCTTATTATTTAAGTAGAAGCACTTCGCAAGGAAAGTAAAAAATCGGCATACAAAACTGTAAATCATATTTTCCTCCATTTATGTGGACACTTTATTACCGCACGGCGTTCTAAATCAAATGATAAAATGCTTCTTATTTTATGTTTCCTTTTGCTGCTCGACGCGTATTGTCGCCTTGCCGGCTGCTAGTGGCGTCTACTACCTAAGTGGTTTGCTCGCGTGTTATGGTTTTATTTTGTATACTTGTGTGACAGATAAAAATGTTAAATTTTAAAAGTTGCATAATATAATGTTAATACAAGAGTTGATGATAATTGCATGAAAGTATTAATACAAATTGGACTTTTTACATAAACGTGGCAGAATTTATTTCAAAATGGTAATAAATATCCTGCGAATATTTCTAATATGAAGAAGAGTAACTGTTTTTGGAAGTAATGATAGCAGTTTAAAGTAGTATTTACTTAATAGTAACAGTTCTAATTACTTTATTCAACGTCTATGCATACATATATCCATTTATAAGCATCATATACAGATTATAATATAGTGACTTGCCTTGACTTGGTAGGTAATCTAAAGCCAATAGAGTTAATAGATTTCATTTTTAAATTAAATGAAATATTTACCTAATAAATATTAGAATTACCTTATAAGAGCCAAGGTTCTTCACAGAGCAAGCAAGGCGAACGCTTCGACCGGCAGGCACTGTTACATTCTGAATCACGTCCGTAAATTCTGGTTCTTCAATGACTGAAACAAAGTTAAAAATACCTTTAAACATATGTCAATAATAAACATTATTAATGACATGAGATCGGTACATGAAGGCTTCTAAAAACATTAAATTTTGATGAATGATTGCATTGTGCCTTCCCCTAAGGCTTATCAAGCTGGTAAGATATCACAGTTATAAGGACATTTTTGTGTCAGAAGATACGATTTGTAATTTTCAAATTATCAAAGCAGAACGCTTTTAAACAAATTGAGTGGGCGATAAGGAATAATGTCGTCGTTTATCAAGCTGCGAGATAGATGGCTGCTGTTCTACTCTACCCATTTTAAACGCGTTTGTCTTCGACTTGCCAAATTGGCTTTCTTTGTTATTTTTGCAAATTCGCACGTTAACGTCTGCAGTAATGAGTTTATGGTCGGGCAATACCTATTATCACGGTAGTATAGTATATGATAACAAATCGTCTACGAGAGTCGTCCAGTGGTTGACTGGATAAACATTTGTCATTCTTAAAGCGGACGGGTTGAAAGAGAGTTGCCTCGACTCGATGATATAGAATTGGCCCGTCACAAATTCCGCACACAGACGGTTTACCGTAGTATTTGAAGAATAAACGTGCTCCATGGTGATCCTCACTTGTTTACATATCGCATCTGTAGAAAGTAGCACCGTTCTTTATCTAAAATTATAACTTACGCTTTTGCAGGATTTTCACGTGTTAGTCTCTAAATTACTATTAAAGTAGGTACTTAAGATACTTATAACACGATGCTTATACATTCTTATAATACTTTCTTAGATTTACGCGAATATTTGACATTTTAAATAAAACTACCCTTTCGAATTTTTTCGCAGATTTATTTGGATTTTTGGTTAGCGACGGTTGCTTTACAGCAATCATGGTCACGGTAGAGACTGAGGTGTTAGATGTCTCGAAGGTATAGTTGTTACAGACAGCCTACCCAAAAATAACAAAATGAAAATTGCACCAATTACCTTAGAATATTTTTTAACTTTAAACATTCTTATAATTTCAATTAGTTTTATAATTGAATGTGGAATATCATTTATTTAGTATTTGCTGTTATTATTATAATTATTACAATTTTAAAAACATTGATTAGTAATCTATATTTAGTGTTGCCATTATTATATTTATAACCATAAAGAAAAATATAAAATATAGTATTAATTATTTAAGCCATATAATTGTTCTCTGTGTTATTTAAAAAGTTAAAATTAGTTAAGGATAATAATTTTAATTTACTTTAAATTAAACACGATGCTAATGAAAATCCAATCTATAAAGTTTATGACAAATAACAGTATTCATTGTTATTCGTCAATAAGAGCTGTTATAATGAAAAATCAGTATCACTTCGTTGAAACGTTATTGAACATGAACGAAATAGTATTCGAGACAGAATCCCCGTCTTTTTCACTTTTCGTCAAACGTCGCGTCAGAGTAGCGGCAGAGAGCTTATTTTTATTAGATTGCCTTACCTTTCTGCTTCATTATGTAATACTACGGAAAAACAAGTAATGTAAGCATGGTGCGAATAGTTTTCGCTTAATATTAACCTCTATTGCAATATCGTTAACGAAATTATGATATAACTAGCGACTCACCCTTGCTACGCTCGGGTTGGTCCCTACTTACGTTTTAAAGTTTAGTATAGATTTCTCAGAAATTAGATATTTTCTCGCAATAAAAAGTATCCTATATGTTGACCCAGATAACCAGCTATCATCATACCAAATTTCATCAAAATCCCTCCAGCGGTTTTTCCGTGATGCGGTAACAGACAGTCAGACAGACAAAAATTCTAAAAACTATGGATTCCGCCTCTGTATCATATCTATGAAAAAATATTTCATGTACAGATTCGGCTCAGTAAGAATTTTATTATATGTATAGATCATAGAGATGAAGCTGATGTGTGAAAGAAACTTGAAGATAGCACTCAAGATAAAGCATTCATAGAAGATTTGGAAACTCTTAAGCCTTGTTATTAGGATTCATCAGAGTGCAAGCGTAGTAAGTAGATACCTGACTGAAGATGAAAGCTATGGCATGTTTGCTCGCCTGATCGTATTAGCTAAGCACGGTGCTTCATTTTCTACCCCGTTGCCCTGACTCAACTGATGTAAATCGCGCATTCCTAACCATAACGCACCCTGTTAAGCATATATACTTTCATCGAGGAATAAATGTATTGATTTATTATGAGGTAATCAGGTGGTTTAAGAAAACATGATTCGTATCCTATAAGATTACTTGTTCTGTTTTCTTAAAATATACCTACTAAGAATACCTGTATGTATGTGATATTTATTACTTTTACTTATTTGATATACATATAAGCAGCGAAATTTTAAATGGTGCCACTCATTGTCAACGCTAATGTTAGTAGAATCTATAATTTCAAAACGCTCTAGATTTAGATACTACCTATTCGATTGTTTGACTTTGTAACACATTTACCAAAGTGGTTTCATTTTATTTTTATACTACTTTTTGTACGCGGCTACATTTGCGTATTAGGTATAATAATAATATAAAATAATAAATAAATATGTTGGCACATTAACACACAGCGCCATCTAGTTCCAAGTACAAACATTCGTGCTCATCACACAAATGAATGTGTCCAGCGGGACTCGAACCCGCGACCGCTGGCACAGCAAGTAGGGTCACTACAAATTGAGCCAAACATGTTGTCAAAATCTATCTTTTTAAAAAGTTGCCTATGTACGCATTTTTAAGAAAATAAATCATCAGTGTAGTCATTAGAGCGTCACTAATACATTCATTCACTGAATCTCTTGTTCGTAAACACACGTCGTAACATTTATAATATTTGGGTTATTATAATTTCAATATCTGAAAATCCCTTAAAAAATTGTTTTTGGTTTCTGTCAACTCATCTAGCGTTCTTGACCAAGTTACTACTTTCTTATATGTATAAACTAGTATGGCTCGACATGATTTTTTTTAATTAAACATTGTCATAATTTACTATAGGTACAAGTGTGATTCCCTGTGTTCTTACTGTTACTGTAAAAATAAATCTATACAAACAAATTAAGTTCAATATGTACATATATATTGAACAAAACTTTTTATTATGCATATTACTATGAATTAAAATATTATTAGTTAACTTTCATATTTATAGATCTACTAATCTAATATTAGTCCCGCTGAGTTTCTTTCGCCAGTTCTCAGGTCTGAGGCTTCTTCTTTCCGAACTGGTAGTAGACTCATGACGTTCAGTAAAAAATTGTAATAATTTAATGCTGAATAAAATATTTTGAATATGAATTTGAAAAACTGTTCCGATGTATATTACGAAATATACAAGTGAACCACCTCATTCTACATGTGTACATACAAAGTGGGGATTACGTTAGGTGGTTGTGGATTAATTAGTATAGGGATGTTGACAAAATTTTGGAAATGTTTTTATTGTTAGACACGAATTAATTATGAAAAACATATTTTAGCTAGAAGAAAATTATAATCAGGATGTATAAAGGTTTTTTATAATATTGCCGTGAATGTTTGGTATACAAAACGTATGTAAGACCCGAAATATTGTTTTTTTGTTAATTTAGTAATTATATTATCATTAAAATATCGCTCTACAATTATTTTGAATTGATGTCATTATCCCTATATAACGTTGGCCTATGTAAAGCCACATCCTTAGTGAGTCTTGAATAGATTCAAATAATATTAAGATCTACGCGGTGTCAAAATATAGCTTTTTACAAAGACAATTAGTAGTTGAAAATTTATACAACCTTTTTTCTATATGTTGAGAAGACGGCCTAGAGTATTATATATTAATATTGATTTGAAAAGCCTTAAAACAATGGTAATGGAATGCAAGCTATGTTTTACTTAAGTTTACTAAGTACTTAAGTAAATATTAACATACTCATTGCATTTATCTTTAAGAGTGCAACGTTAATAAAAATGTTACTAAATACTTAGTTAGTACTTAACAGACAATTAACAAAGAAATTATTGAAGACTAGCATTTCCCGCGGCTCCGCCCGCGTTCAGATGACCAAAAACCAAATTCTTAGGTTTTACATATTAGTATACTCTTACATTGCAGTTTTTGTATTTTTTCTCAGAAATGAGATAGTTTCCCGCAGTAAAAAGTATCCTATATGTTGACCCGGATAACCAGCTGTCATCATACCAAATTTCATCGAAATATGTCCAATGGTTTTCTCGTGATGCGGTAACAGACAGACAGACAGACAGACAAAAATTCTAAAAACTATAGATTCGGACTCTGTATCGATAATAATGTTTATTTCAATTAGATTTTCCAAAAAATATTTAATGTACAGATTCGACTTAGTTACAATTTTATTATATGTATACATTTTAATTGTTCTTAATAAGAAGATACTCGTACGATACCATCGAATCTCTTAATATCCCTAACAATGACTCGTGTATGAGCAAGCGTACTTGAAGTTAATGAGCGCGGCGAGACAAGAAGTTATGTTTGTTTCAATAATAACTTTATATTAAAATTAACCAGAGTAATGTTAACAATAATCTCACACACCGCACGTCGGCGTGCTATTTAGAGGTTAATTAAGAAACCGCAGACAACGGCGCGGAGGGAGGCAATCCCTTTGTCACTGAGGCCAAGACGGTGCTCAGTAACTGCTTGCACATTTCAAGCACGTATCTATTATTATTGTAATTTTGATATTAATTCACATCTTATTTATATTTGCATTCCTTATGTATTAAATTGAAAAAAATATATTATTAAGGTTGTCCTCTAAAATTGAAATTTTAAACTTGAGATATGAAGGAACCAAGAAAAGGTCAACTACAAACTTCTTTGATACATTCTTAAGAGTTTCCTCGTTTGCCTGGAGCCACCATACTTAGAAATGCGCCGGTCATAACAGCAGTGTATAATTTAGGTGTGCGAGCATGTATGTATGTTTGAATGTGCTTATTACACCATAACGAAAACTG